GAATGATTAAGTTTCAACAAAATAATAGTTTGTAGACTATTATACAATGTAACACATTTTAAATTACACATCTTATTATTAAAATACTGTCTCTTTTTTTAATAATTTCAAGTATATTGTACTACAGCTGAATTTAAAATGTCTAAATGCAATAGACCTATTTAAATAACTTATATAATATATTAGTATATATTAAACATATTGGTAATAACTAATAACTAATTAGGTTTAATTTGGTACCTTCTAGTAATTATTACTTTTATTATAATGTTGATATAACTAATTTATAATTTTTATAAAAACCCAACTATACAAATAAATACAATGTGGAATGACTCCTTTTTATATGAACTTGATATACACTTTGAAAAGGTCTTTATGATTTAGAATGTACCTAAGTAATTAATATTATATGTTTAAATAGCTCCAATAGTACCTATTCATAAAATCATAAAATGGTGTTATTCAATTGTACGCACTTTAATTTAAGCTTACCTATAGGTTTATTACATTGTATATTATATTATATTTAAATACATCTCCAGTAACTCATCTACAAAATAAAACACCAAGTTGACTACATTATTTATTATCAACCCCATAATTTTAGTTTAATTATATATTTAGATCAAACAAGTTGTAAGAAGGCGGAAAATTCTAAGAAAAGTATAGATACTTACATAATTTAGACTCGTATTGTTAGATCAAAAACGAAAATTCTAAAAGTTAAATTCTTATGTAGATTATCTGTTGATTTAATATCAATGTAATATTTACCTTGATTCTCGAGTGAAACTAAATAAAGCAAATCAGATTCAAAATATTCACATAACTACTTGAATATTACACACTCACAATTCAATCTAATAGGTACTAAAGTAAACGATAAAAATGGTTTTGCTTATATATTTTATATGTGCATTATAATTTATTATATAAGTCTACAATATACAACTGTAACCTTTTATAGAAAGAAATTAATTTGAAACACTTTTGACAAAAATAATACAATTTTAATTTTTTGGGGCTAAAATTATGAAAATCCCAACAAAATTAAAACAATTTTCAACAAGTTAATTTTTACTAGGTACCTAACCTACCTATGCAACAACAGTACAATGTATAAAACTCATGCAATATCGTGAATTTACATTATTATTTATAATAAAGAATATCTACCATATTAAAAATCACTATAAACTACCTACATAAGTTCTAAATCTTAATGAGACTAATGAGAGGTAGGTACCACCATACTACTGAGTATATAGTACTATAGTATGCGTATGACGTTCATATACATTTTGAATACAAAAACTTCTTTTGTTATATAGGCAGAGCCTCACATCTGAATGAACCAGAATCTGTAAAACCCTTAAAAAATCAAAAGCCCGAAACCCATATAGCCTAAATGGTTCTATGTTCAAACACCCGAATTAACCAAAACCCGAATAAAACATTCTGGTTAACACGAATAATTTTTTATTTTACAATCTACGTGTGGTAAATAATTTTAAATATATTTTATTTGTTTAATAATAAAAATATTTAGAAATTTTAAAATTTAGAAATGTATTAAAAATAATTAAAAATGTAAAAAAAAATCTAATAGAAATAACTATAAAAATTACGTTTTTTCTGAACTACTAAATACCCGTATTAACCAATATCAACCCGAATAATAACAGTTATTAACACACAAACGTTTGTTTAAAATTGTTATTCTAGTGTTTGAACACCCGAATACATGCAGCACCCTAAAAAAAATGTGAATCCGTTATATTTAATATTTCCTTTTTTACAGTTTTTGTTACATTGTTACGGTCAAGTATACAGGCCTATTTCCACAACATCCCACTATCATTCATATTTTATTGATTTAACATTTAACCATTGATCATAACTATATTGGTTATTGAGTTTTTTAAGTTATAGAGCTTAGAGAATAATATTATTATATGACAATAATTTATTTCTTTCCCATATGTAATACGCTAATACCATTAAACATTTTATTGATGTACGTTTGGCAATTTTAGAGGTTACGAGTTGTGCTTCTTATGTACATATAAGATTGCGGCACTTCAGTCTCCCATTCTTCCCAGTTTTGTATTGCAAGTCTTTAAGTAAATATCGGTAAATATCGGCTAAATATCCACAATAATAAAACATAAGTACACTGGTTGATGAATGATTTCACAGTAGCGAAATAATAGTAGATAGTTTTATTTTTAGAAGTTCGTTTTAGATGAGTTTATGAATTAATAGTTGATATGAGGACGAAATAAAATTATGAATTATAAGTAGTATCTCGAGGGATGTTAAAAAACACAGCAAAAGATATTGGTTCGGTTGCTAGTTTTCGGCGAAGACGTGACAGGAAATCGTTTCACAAATTCAATTAGTGAAATATTTTATCAGCAAATAATAATATAACCTTTATAGTAGTTGTTTCTATGGTTACATAAAAAAAAAAAATTTGAACGGTTTCATATAGAAATAAATGAATGAATTTAAAACATATTACATGTGCCTATCTGCTGAGCAACAATAAATGTATTCATTTTAGAACGGTATTCGTTAGTGCGGTAAGACGTTTAGACGTATGTAAAACCATTTCGATTTTGATGAATTCTTTTTGGAGTAAAATTTGCATCGTATTGGTTTTATTTAAAACGACAAGTGCCAAGTAAACATAAAACATATTGAAATCGGAAAAAAGTGGCTTAGAAAAAAAAAACATATTATAACACATCAACAATAATATTATGGGTAATTGATACGATGAATGAAACCAATACGAAAAGTCGGATTGTAGAAAACTCAAAAGACAAATTCGTGGTATGTTAACAAAACAGCACTTACTACGTACCTTTTGTATATTATGTACCACAAAAGTTTTTTCAAATTGCCCTGATTAGTATTTAGATACCATAATAGCGTAAAGAAAAAACAGTCAAACAAGATAATATTTATAAAATACTTTGGAATAAGCGGTTTACCCATATTAATATTATTGTATCTATATGAATACGAAAAGGTATTTATTGAAGTCTTAAGAAAATTGCAATTGTATCATTCAAATATATGGCACGTGCTAGTTTGGTTTCAACGAGTCTTAAGAGTGTTTTTTTACCCGCATTTTTGGCGAGTATTTTGTGGATTTTATTCGTTTGCTAAGCAATCGCTCAGTGACGTGTGTCCATACATATCAATTATACTTTAAAATCAATGTATGTAGGTCTATAATTCTGATCTGTATTTCAATATACACACCTACCTAAACCAGGGTTTTTATGAGGGTGGGTCTCACAACTCAATTTTAGCAATTTTAAATCTGAATAGTATAAAATATAATATTATAAAATTAAAATGTAAAAATATCTGTAATATTTAAACCATATATTATAATAATATCACATTTTTATTTATTCAATTTAAATCCAATCTATAGTCCTATTGTAAAATATATTATTTTAAAGGTAATTTATCACAAATAAAACAGTGTTATAGACTATAGTTCCAAGTTAACATAACTACTAAATTGTTGTCTATTTTTCACTCACTACCAAGTCCAAGATAGGTCACAACTAAAAATGTTTTAAAAATACATAAACCACTGCCGTAAGTACCTACAAAATACCACAAATATCGTTACGACTTACGAAAAATTAAGATCACTCAAAATAAAATCTTAATAATTTCGACGCGGAAAAAAGTGCGTAAAAGAAGTTACTCATATAGGTAGATAAGTACAAATTAATCGGTAATTAATACATTTTAATCCACGCTGCATATTATTCTATAACGTTATTCGTATTAAATAATATTATAAATACCTATAGACCGGATTTAATTGATATTGCAACTTTATTTGCAAACAAGATAAATCAAATTTGATCAAATATATGTTCGAATTATACTATATATGTTTGAAATAATACACATGTTTCATTTTAAATTGCAATTTTTTGCAAATATGTGTGTCTTATATGTGTTTGAACTAATAAATATTTTACTTTCCTTGTTTTACAACATAAAAACGCTATTCTAATAATTATGAGTTCGATACGAGCAGATAATCTGTAGTCGTACCATAAAGCCATTGTTATTAAGATGACAATTATTCTTATATCATTCCACAAATCGGTGGGCCTATTTATCGTAAATCGTTCATACAACATAATTGTCTCTTGTAGCATTTTATAACATGTCTTAAAACGTTTACTGGAAAGTCTAGTCCGGGAAAGAAAATGTTAATTTTGATATAATGCCTAACTTAGTGAATTGTTTTAATCACCAATACAACTGGTGTAGACGTAGAACATCGTTTTTCTTTGTGCACATATATAATATTAAGTACCTATACCTAGTATATCTATCTAATAGGAGATATCATTTTAAAAGACTTAATTTATAAATGTATTTAATCATAATATATTTTAATTTTTTTCAAATAACATTAATATTTATATTGTACTATGTAATTGTATTATTATATTAGAGAAATTAAACTTTTTTCGCATAACTTTTGCAGTTTTCCACTTTTATACTGCAATATATATTTTTTTGAAATCTTTACTTATTTTTGGCGCTATCATACAGTTATTTTACTGTTGAATTTCTTGAGTTTTTAATGCAATTAAATGCAGCTTTTGATTACATAGTGTACCTACCTATACCATCGATCTATAACTATCTCCGGCTGTGCCATACCGCTATTATCATAACCGTTAGGTACCTAATAATATATGCCACAGCCCCTACAAGTTGATTCACATTATTATTATTAATCGAACAAAGTATAATATTATATAGGTACCCAATACACATTAAATCACGTCCTACTTTATATATCATAATATTCTATTTTATCATAATATTACGTACATAATATAATACAATCATCGTTTCTACGATGACGTTTAGACTATTATATAACCGTGATTGCGGTATGCACTATCATATATGATATAATATTATTATTATTTTATAGGTACCTGTTGGACGAGGGACGGTGTCGACGCATTTTGACAACGACGGATTTTCGTCTGCCGTTGCCGGCAACCAATAGGACGGTCACGTCGTCCGTCCGCGGAGAATCGCCGCCGCTTACCGTGCGCGACATGGCGTGCTATGCGACAAATACGGCGCGAGCAACGCGTCCGGTGCGTTTAAATAGATGAGTGTGGACCTCCTCCGCGACGCGCCGTCAGTCATCGCCACCGCGAGGCCGCGCGCCGACGATGGCGTTCGGCGGCGGCGGCGCGATGCCAGCGGGGTGGGCGGGGGGACCGGCGGCGGCGTTTAGGTCCCACGACGGTGCGCGACGGCCGAAACGGACCGAACGACATATTATCATTATTATTATTATACGTAACGTTAGCGCAGATCAAGAGCGCGCGCGGGAATTACTGTTTATATTTTTCGATAAATTTTCTAAGTCTTGTGATATTATTATTATTATTATTATTATTATATAGCTACCTATTATGGGTGCGTGCCATTATCAATATGGCCAAGAGGAATTTTTGATTTTCGCACCCCAAATCAAACCGTACGACGGTGATGACGACGTGCCGCGGTCCCGGCGGCGGCGGCGAGACGTGTACGGGCCGATTCACATATTTAATAATTATTATTATAATATCGATACGACATTTATTTATTACGATACTAAGATATTATCATACCTGTGTAGTAAGACGATGCGAGTATAATAATAATAATATTATAATAGGCAGGTAATAATAATAATACTGTTGCGCGCGCGAAACGGGTTGAAGACTGGCAGCGGTGTACGCGGAACCATCGTCGTCGCCGCCGCCGCCGCCGCCGTCTTCTCGAGTATCTACGACATAATAATATTTTTATCTGGTTAATGCTACTTGTGTGGTACGGTTGTTTTTTTCCTACCTTAGTACATAACTCACATAGAATAATGAATGATGGGCGTACGAACTCTTTGCCCTACCTTTATTTTTATACCTATATATACCTATGTTATCCTAGGCTCATGTGTCGCGTGTTTGTTCGTACTTAATCCGAGATAAACATTCGGCATTAACATTTTCCGTTATTAGTCTGCTGCTATTAATAATATTATATTGTACGACTATTATATAATATAATATATATTGTTCAAGGCTGGGCAAGTTAACAAATTTTTTCGTCACGTCAAGTTCGTATGAACAAACGTATATGTTAAGTTCAAAGCTATTTAAGTCACAATTGAAATAGAAAAATGGCACGTGGAAACCGCTTTGTGGTAGGTACATTAGGACTATAGGTGCCGTGTGGGTCACTGTAATGTAGGTATGTGTTAAATTTTGATTCAACGGCATAAAATAATTGTATGTACAAAACACGATTCTGAGCAAATGAAATTATTAAAAGTACTTTATTTTACTATATTAGTAATGCAGTTGGTTGAATCAGTTTTTGGCCAAACATTTTTTAACATGCCAAAAACAGTCAATATTTATTTTTAAAATTATAAAATAAAAATTTTGTCAACATTTCATGTACCTACCTATGCGGTTATTCCTATTTTTGAATTACAAAAAAATAAAAAAATCGTTCTATGAGAAATTGTTAGTTTAAGGTCATAAAAATGACTGTTAACTATTTATTTTTTTTGTTTAAGATAGAAAACTCATGAGGAATATTGTATTCGATTTCCAAGTTTTTACCAAGTGGAAGATTAATTATCGACATTAATTATAATCAAATTGAATAAAATAGAAACATTCTCATGACTATAAACAGCTAAAATAAGAGTCAAAATATTTGGAAAATGTCATCATGTATGGAAAATTGTCATGTAAACATTTGGTGAACATTGGAAGTACCTATAGGCTATACTACCTATATAGTTATTAGTTTGTGATTTACACCAAAATACTAAAAAATCGATTTTGTTTTCAACTGGTTTTGAGCAGAATCCCCGTTCGTCTTTAATTTTTTTAAGATTTTCCTGACTCATTTGAAAATTATAAGGATTTTTTTACTTTTGACTCTCCAAACTATCAAATATATTCACTTTCCTACCAGAAAATATGTAGAAGTAGAAAATCAAAGTAGTTTTAATGCCCCAAAAGGTGATGACAGACACACAAAATTAAAAACACTTAAACACACATAATTCTAAAATAAATCATTTTTGTGCATATAGCCCTGGTAAAATCAATACATTCATATTCATCGCTCAGCTCAGAATTCAAAAAAAGTTACTTCATTTCGTAAAAAATCAATTTTTTAATGGAATATTTACAATCAATGCCAATAAATAAATTTAAGAAAAATATATGTAAGTAGTTACACAAATACAAAAATATAATATTATAGTAGAAATTATACATATAAGATTAATCAACAGAAAAATAACAGAAAGAGAGCCAACCCAATTGACCATATAATCAGAAATTTTAATTATTTAGGTAAATATATTAAGATATCGCCAACGTCTCTTTCAACGTCGAGCTGAGAGTTATCACTTATCATTAGCTGGTAGTGCTGTTTTTGAAAAATTTGAAATTAATTTGTTGATTGTGTTTGGACAAGTATTTAATTTTCTATGGACATTTATACAAAGTTAAATCTTATGTAAGTTATTTGGTTCCCTATAGAAATCCAAATTTAGTACATTCGCCACTTTTATAGAGAGTTTACGATTTAGTATTTTCATTACATATTATATTATATAGAATCATTTTGGAAAAGACAAAATAGATATATTTTTAATTTGTTGATTTCGTATATTAACGTGACAATACAATCAATTAACTGTGTGTCATATGCTTCAATTTTTTACGCGTTAAGTTAGAAGTTACTTTAAAATAAATTAATAGGTAATTCAACTAACCTAAAAGCAATTCAATATTATTTTTTTGATTCGTTGATGCCCAGCTTTGGTTAAATTATAGTTGGTACCATCCTTTCAATAATAGTCATAGCTATGTAAGACAACTATAGATGGTCGACTCGATAGTCGATGAGTAGGTATATTGAAGTCGGCAGCCACATACTGACATACTAAGAGGGTAAAGTACGAATGTACGATTGATTAATCCATGACATTTATGACTATGCCATGCAATATAATATAATAAATTAATAACAACAACAAGTCAAGATCTATAAAGAAGATTATTGATCTTTATAGATCTTGACAACAAGTAACAACATGGGTGTTTATCGGGTGAAAGTTCCTTCTTTCTAATCGTGGTTTCCGAGAATTGTGGATTTGAATCATGGTGTTATCATAATATAATTCATGGCGTATAATTAAATATGTCATGGATTAATCAATTGTATTTGGCCATCTTGACATATGACTGCCAGACTTCATGGGTCTTATGAGACTTAAACACAGAGTCGACTGTTTAGTTGTTTTATAATAGAATACAAAGGGCCTCAAAGTTAATATTATTATCATAGTCATAGTCTTATGTGAACTGCAGATGACATATTTATGTGACCGCATTCGCGGAATCTACCAGATTAATATGGTTATGTACACAATACACATATACACGCTGTAATTGAGTGGACCGGGTGGTGAACCTATGGCACGACGTTGGTCGAATTTTAATGGCACACGAAATATTTTTATTTCATCGTTAAATCTCAAGTTATGTAAAAAATAATTAGGAAAAAAAATATTTATTATTTATAAATAATATAGTTTCTAATAAATTATAAAATTCAGAAACATTTGGAGCTCATCACATCTATAAAGAATGGTAGGTATTATGAAAACGTTATATTTATAAATTGTTTAACAAATCTCAGTCTCACAATAGTGTCACGACTTTGATTGTTCGACCAGAAAAAAAGCTTGTAAGTACTAACATACCACTGGCACTTCAAATTTTTTTAAATTGTGATTCCATGGCACCTGTCCTAAAAATTCTGCCCCACCCCTACTAAATAAAGAGTATCCACAATACAACATATAATATTCCTATATATAGGTAAGTACTAACTATATATTAAGTACTAACTATAATTTCAGCCCCTCCACCCTCAGAAAAATGTCCTTAATTGAGCCTATGCAGTTGTATAGACTCGCATACGTCTACTTCATACCTATAAGACCATAGTGTTATTTATTATTATGCATAGGTAGGTATAAAGATATTAAGCATACTAATAAAAATTAAGTAATCAATAGCTATATCAACCTATACAACGAGTTTAAAAAACATAAATTTGAGACCTACAGTTATATTAAAAAAATCTCTTACTTATAAGTTATAATATACAATAATATTCTAATTTCTAACAATATTAGTTATTCGTTGTAATTTAAAAAATATCTAGAAAATAGCTATATGTTGACAGATCATGAGCTTACTACTCATAATATACATACAACTAAATATTATGCAGCGATTAAATTTAAATTAAAATTACCATATCATTTTAACTCCGGAGGTTAATACACTTATACCCTTATGTTTAGATGCGTTCCTGTTTAATACTATTATGTAGGTAAAATATGTTGTTATATATATATTTTTTTAATTTTTTCTATCGCAATATAGGGTAGCACAATGCCAGCAGTGACTTCCTTCTATATTTAATAATAAATTATACATACCAATATACTCGTATTATTATGAGTTAATTAAAACCTCTTTGATCTTTACACATTTTGTAGGTATACAGATAATATATTACCTACTATGCAACAACGTTTATTTAAAATACATATTTCCAAAATGGCAAAGTCAAGTTCAAATATATCATAATAGTCCTAAAAAAAGTTTTGAAAGTTTAAATTAATTATAAATACCTAAATTTATTTTTTATATCCCATATTATTATAATTTATAGCAGCGAAGTAATGGAATTATACCATACAAACATAACTATGTGTGATGTGTCTATACTCTGTATATATTATTTGATAAATAGGTACATGTATTCATATAGTCTACAATTTAAATAATTACAGTATAGGTTTATACCTATTAAGATGTTATTGCAATAATTAGTCGTGTTACCTCAACAATATATAATATTCATATTAATTTATTCAAATCAGTATAATTCATAACTTACCAGCTATAATATGAATGACATTTTAAAACAGGTAGGTATCTACGACCTACCTACTTCGCA